ACCACTACACTACCTGCCAACCTGAACACATTTTCAATGGAATAACATTTTCAGCTTACGATGGACTTATCAGGACACAAGGCCCTCCTCACTCGAGGAGCCTCTGAGTAGCTGGCACAGCAAGACGCCCCGCGGCACCAGTGTCATCTCGCTCTAAATAAGGCATGAACATTTTGTAACCTTCAAAGGACAATAAACCGTTCTTTGAAATGTTATAAAATTCTATTTTTGAAGCAGCCGCAGTTGTGAACTGGCTGTCAGGGTTTGCAAGATCCTGGCTGTTGATAGCACATGTGGCTTTCTAATGGCCCTGAGAATTTTGACAGCGGATGCAGGCCTTTGGAGAGAGAGCTTATGTGGAAAAACGCCTTTTTTTCCTACAGAGCCTTTGAAACCTGACCAATCGGATCCTAGCTCCAGCGGAGTGATTTTCCCGGTCCGCCCGCGCATGCCCGAAGTTTCTTTACTAGAAGGAATGAAATTGAGTATGTCCAAGAGCGAAGCGCTCTTTTTTTGGGGAGAGATTTTTTTTTTCTATAGGGCACATGCACTTGCCAGAGAGACAGAGAGCAAGAACTCACCCCTCAGGGGGGATGGCCACTCTGCAGTCCCCTGTCCCCCATTCTCATTTCGGGATCTTGGGCACGCATGGGCATGTGTCTGGTATGAGTTTCAAGCCACCGGGTCCAGGACTTGAATCATGGTAGAACACATGGGAGTCCAGCACCTTCACCACGGCGCCACCTGCTGGCGTGTGAAATATTCTTTTACAATGCTGTTGCCATAGGCGGGGAATAATTCTACACTGGTTTAAAAAATTATTCTTTCATTCCATGAAACATTGTTATGTTTTCTTTCTTCAGGTGAATTTCTTTCCGTTTTTATTGGGTAAGATTTATTATTTATTTTTAATTAATTTATTTATTCTCATTAAGACAGAGAGAAAGGGAGAGTGTGAAAGCAAGCCACCAGGTCCTGGACTTGAACCGTGGTCAGCCATGTGGGAGTCCGGCACCTCAGTCACCATGCCACCTGCTGTCCCCGACCCCCCCTTTATTTTCTTTTGAGAGAGATTTTTGCTATAGGGTGTGCACACTTGACAGAATGACAGAAAGAGGCAGAGAGACATAAAGCGAGAAATCACCCCCAGGGCTGATGTATTATTTTTTAATTTGCTATAGAGCACATGTACTCGCCAGAGAGAGAGAGGGAAAGTGAGAAAGCAAGCTTCCAGGCCCAGGACTTGAACTGCAGTGGACCAGGTGGGGGTCCAGTGCCTTAACCACCACGCCACCTACCGACCCCTACATATAATTTTTAAGCCAGAGAGATGATCCATAAGATGTGACAATCTTGAGATCAGAAAGTGGGGAGGGTCTCTTTTCTAAAAGCCGAATGGTGCGCCTCGGTAGCTTCAGGTCTAGCTAGAGGAAACCCCGTTTCACCTGGTTCTGGCCAGTTTTATGTAACGCAGCCGCAAAAACAATTGCGTGGTGATGCCCAGGGCTGCAAAGTGCTCAGAGCAAACCCGAGGAAAAGGACGTTTTCTGGGTGATGCTTTTTGACAGGTTGCGGGGCTCCCTCTAGTGGCCATCTTTGCCTACTGCAGTCTGGGATGGTGATGCGTGTTTTCATCAGACTCGCCTACGTTGCTGGTTTTCGGATTATACTGGAGTTTCCGGATTAGCACATTTATTTCATTTTATTTTTACTTTTTAGTTTTTGCTATAAGGTAGATGCTCTCGTTGGAGAGAGACAGAGAGAGGGAGGGAAAGTGAGAAATCACCACCCCTAGTCCACAGGGGATGGCCACGCCGCAATCCCTTCTCCTTCATTCTCTTCCTGGGATCTTGGGCATGCGTGCACACGTGCCTGGTGTGTTTCTCAAGCCACCGGTTTGGGACTCGAACCATGCAGCCTGTCAGGTGGGATCCAGCCTCTTGGGATTTTGGGCACATACGCACATGCACCCAGTATTAGTTTTAAGCCGCCAGGTTCAGGACTCGAACCGTGGTCGACTGCATGGGAGTCCAGCCACGAACCCATCGCATCATCTGCTGGTCCCTGAAATTTCGTCAAACCAAATTGTACATGTGCGTGCGTCCAGTGGGCACAGGGAGGCTTTGGGGTGCAAATCTAGGATGTTGCTTTGTGGCTTTTGCACTGGGGAGCTTGGTATTACTGCTACACCAACACAACTGGCCCACACGTAAACATGATTGTTCCTGATTAAAAGAGTAGGAGGCCCAGCCCCTGGCATGGCGGTTAAGGCAGCTGGATCCCACATGGCCGATCTGCGATTCGAGCCCAGGACCCAGGGACTTGAAAAACATGCTGGGTGCGTGTGTGTGTGTGTGTGTGCCCAAATACCCAAGAGGAGAATGGAGGAGAAGGGAGTATGGCGTGGCCATCCCCCATGGGGAGTGATTTCTCACGCCAGGCGCGTGTATGTGCGTGCCCAAGATCCCGAGAGGAGAAGGGAGAAGGGATTGCGGCGTGGCCATCCCGCCGCCCCCGGGGGGGGGGGGTGATTCCTCGCTTTCTGTCTCTCTGTCTCTCTGGTGAGGACATGCACCCTATAGCAGAAACCTCTCCTCCCCCCCAAAGAAAATGTCACACACACACAAAAAGATTAAGTAGGCCAGCTTGTGGCATGACAGTCAAGGCAGCTGGATGCCACATGGCCACATATATAATTCGAATCCCGCACCTGGTGGCTTGAGAAACACGCCAGAAGCATGTGCGCGTGTGCCCAGAATCCCGGAAAGGAGAGATGGAGAAGCCGTCGTGGGGAGCAATTTCTCATACTCTGACTCTCTGTTTCTCTGGCAAGTGCGCATACTCTGGCAAAATTTTTAAAAAAGACTAGAAAATGGGAAATGTATTACCTCCTTCATGGTCTCATTCATCAATCGATCGATCGTGGAGTATCTACGTACACCAGGGTCTCTTCTGGATGTTAGGGTACTGTAGTGAATATGACTGACCGAGACCCTGAGCTCAGTTTCGAGCTCACAGTGTAGACAGAGACTACTGGATGATATAAAAACTCATCAAAGAAGGGGACCAGCAGTTGGCGTAATGGCTGTGTCGCTAAACTCCCATGTAGTCGATCACGGTTCGAGTCCCGGACCCGGCGACTTAAAACTCACACCGGGCGCATGTGTGTGTGTGCCCAACATTCCAAGAGGAGTCTGGAAGACAAGAGATAATGGCATGGTTATTCCCCCTGGGGGGGTAATTTCTTGCCTTGTATCTCTCTGTCTATCTCTCTGTCTCTCCAGCGAGCACATGTGCCTCAGGGCAAAAATCTCTCTTAAAAACCCAAACCCAAACGCTGTATCAGATAAGATCGGTGTGCTGATTATTTTTAAGTGCTTCCAGTTAAATTTTGTCCAACCCGATCTTGCTAAGTTATGCAATTCTGTAAATAAAGTTACAGCTTTACTGACATAGATAACAGCTAAAGGATACATTTATTTTTTAGTAAAAAATGTGTCGCCTACATATTTTCAGCTCAAGTGCAAAACTGTGCATAGATTTTTGGTTTTCCCTAGGGATCTGAGCACACAGGTACACGCGCGGATTTGGGATTGTTGGTTGGGGAGGGGCAAAATGGAATAAGGAAGTCATCTTGTTTTTTGTTTGCACGTCAGGAGGTGCGTGAGCTTTTCAGCCGGAGAGATGGAGAGACAGAGAGCGGGAGAGGAGGAAGCCCCTCCCATGGGGAATGGTCACGCTGTCACCCCTTCTCCTCTGTCTCTCTCTTCTTGGGGCTCTGGGTATCTATGCACACACTCTCTGGGTATTTCTCAAGTTGCTGGGCTTGGGACTTGAACCACATGTTCAGCCATGTGGGATCTAGTTGCCTTAAACTCCAGGCCACAGGGCTGGCCCTAAAGTCATCCTTTTCTAAGTTGGTACCGATCTGGGAGGAGGGGGAGGGAGGCTAAATTAACACGGGCGAGGATGGACTCTCACGGGCGCGAACCCCGGTGAGTCAGAAGAATGGCCAGAGAGTACACGGGAAACCCACCCCTCCAAGTACCTGAGCCCCTAGAAGGACAGCTCCCAATTCTAGGTCGGAAATACTGGAGCAGGGTCCAGCAGTTGGTGTAATGGCTATGTCGCCGGACTCCCATGTAGCCAACCGCGGTTCGAGTCCCGGACCCGGCAGCTTAAACTCACGCCGGGCACGTGTGCGTGCGTGCCCAAGATCCCGAGAGGAGAATGGAGGAGAAGGGATTGCGGCGTGACCATCCCCCCTGGGGGGTGATTTCTCGCTTTCTGTCTCTCTGGTGAGCACACGCGCCCTGTAGCAAAAACCTCTCGCCCCCCAAAAAAATAAAAAAAATTTATTTATTTATTTGTTTGTTTGTTTATTTAATTGGACCAGAGGGGGACAGAGTGAGGGAGAAAGAGGGAGATGAGCGAGAAAGCAAGCCGCCAGGTCCAGGATGCGAACTACAGTCGGCCCTGTGGGAGTCCAGCGCCCTTAACCATCACACCACCTGCCGACTCCCATGTGTTCTTTTTGAAGATCCCTTGTGTCTCCTGACGCCTGGCAGGTCTTTCTGTCCTGTGGACGGTGATTCTCGCAGGGGCTGAAGTGAAGGTCAACCAGATGGAATTGAGGGGTGACCTAAGATACTTTTGGAAGGGTCTCCAGTGTAGCATTTATATATATATATATATTTTGGCTATAGGATGTGTGCACTCACCAGAGAGACAGAAAGTGAGAACTCACCCTCCAGGGGATGGCCATGCCTCAATCCCTTCTCCTCCATTCTCCTCTCGGGATCTTGGGCACGCACGCACACGCGGCCGGCGTGAGTTTAAGCCACCGGGTCCGGGACGCGAACTGCGGTGGACTATGTGGGAGTCCAGCGACATAGCCATTACACCAACTGCTGGTCTCCTGGCCCCAATCTTTTGATTGTCCAGCCCCCGTGGAGCCATCTCGACGTGCTCATCCTGGTCTCTTGTTTTGGGGGGTGCAGAGTACCCCGGAGATTCCAAGGAGGACGCATGTGATCCTGGGCAGACGTCTCGCGATGAAAGACCCGGAGAATCTGGAGGCAGCGATGAGGTATGGTGATAACATGTCGTCCCACGAGCTCTTAGTGGTCACGGCGTCCTGGGTTAGTGGCACTGCGGTCTGAACCTTGGTGGGCCACGTGAGAGTCCACTGTCAACCACCACACCACCCGCTGGCCCCATTACTGTGTTTAACTGGAATAATACCTGGTGGTTCCTCTTCTGATTTCAGGAGCAGATCTGTGGAGAAGAACTGGAAAACACAGAGGGTGACCAAGCCCGTGGCGTGAAGGAGGAGGCATCCGGGCTGCCCAGGAGCCCCTGCTGGGCCGTGCAGGCGGGGACGGAGGCCAAGCGGACAGAGGCCAAGCGGACAGCAGCAGTCGCCGGGCTGGCCAGGCAGTCGCGGTGGAAGCAAGTGCGGCCCAGTTCCTAACTCTTCCAGAGAGGAGGTCTTGTCGAGGGGCCCGACCTTGGCTCTCTGGAGCCCGGGTCTGATGGCTCACATGGCCTTGATGTGCCTTTTCTTATAATCTTTGAGGAAACAGTGGCCACCCAGGTGTGTAGGCCTCAGATTCCTGTGGGACCTGGTTCTACAAAGACCAAGAAAGTGCTTCCCAGGGTGCTGTGTGCTGTAGAGACAGGGGGTTATTTTTATTTATTTTTTTAAAAGAGAGGTTTTTGCTACAGGGCACGTGTGCTTGCCAGAAAGAGAGAGACGGAGAGAAGGAAAGCAAGAAATCACCCCCCAGGGTGGGTGGCCACGCTGCAATCCCTTCTCCATTCTCCTCTTGGGATCTTGGGCACGCACGCACACGTGCCCGGCATGAGTTTAAGCCACCGGGCCCGGGACTCGAACCGCAGTTGACTACATGGGAGTCCAGCGACATAGCCATTACGCTGACTGCTGGTCCCAGAGGTGATTGCAGTTCTAAGGACTTGAGAAGCTCCTGCGTTAGACCTTCCGTGGCCCCTGTCCCGCAGGGGGAACTTGTGAGAGTGCACTGAAACCACATGACTGTTTTCCAGAACATTCCTCTGTCGTGGGGACGGGAGCTCAGAGAGGAGCCAGGCGTGCTGCCTGGTGGACCGCGGGAGCTCTTCCCCGGTGTGCACACTGGCCCTGCTGTAATCCATCCTCCCTCCCTTCCTCGTCTCTCCCTCAGCTGCCCATCTCTGTGTCTGCCCGTCTGTCCTGTCGTACGACAGACATGCAGCATGCCTTCTCAGGGACGAGAAGCAAGAAGCTTCTCCTGGGCTATTCCCCTGGAGCTTTGGTCTCTTACACCCATGACAAAGAGGGGTGCGTCCAGTTGACTAGAAACGGAGCTGGGAGCTCCTTGCAGGGACGTCAGGGTGCCCCTTCTCTGCACGGGGGGCTCTCTGTGAAGGAGCCAGACACCCTACAAGCAGTCAGGTCTGCAGCTGAGCGGGTGTCGTGTGTGTGGCGTGCACCCAGGGGCCCCAAACACTGTGGTGGCCATTCCAGATGCATGGCTGCCGTTCTGTGTTTACGTGAGAATCCACCGATGACAATATCTCAGGGCTTTGATGAAGTGACTATCCAATAAATGAAGCTTCTCAAGGATGACAAACTGCCGTGTCGATGGCTCCATTTAAGGACATAGAAACTGAATCCACAGAAGGAGGAGAAGATTCACGGGGACCCAGAGCAGCCCTCCCCAGCCACTGCACAGTCGCCGTGACGCTGAGATGGTGGGTGGGGCCCCTTCCAGGAGGGCGGGTGGAGAATGTCTGCATTTGCATGTGTTGTGTTATTTTTATTATTACGATTTTTTAAGGATGTCTTTTTTTTTTTTAACTTTATTATCATTATTCTTCAATTTTGACCAGAGAGACACAGACAGACAGAAAGGGAGAGTGAGGAAGCAAGCCGCCAGGTCTGAGACTCGAACCAGGGCTGGCCATGTGGGAGTCCAGCATCTCAACCACCACGCCACTGGCTGGCCCCTTATTATATCAGTTTTGTTGTTCAGTTTCTCTATGTCCTTGCTTATTGTTATTATTATTTTAGTTTTTTGCTATAGGGCATGACCACTCACTAGAGAGAGACAGAGATTGAGAGAGAGGAAAAGTGAGAAATCACCCCCTGGGGGGGTGGCCACACAGCAGTGCCTCCTCTTCCATTCCCCACTTGGGATCTTGGGCACGCACGCACATGGACCCGGCATGATTTTTTTTTTTTTGAGAGATTTTCACTGTAGGGCGCGTGCGCTCGCCAGACAGACAGAGAGAGACATAGAGACAGAAAGCGAGAAATCAACCCCCAGGGGGGATGGTCACGCCGCAATCCCTCCTCCTCCATTCTCCTCTCAGGATCTTGGGCACGCATGCACACGCGCCCGGCGTGAGTTTTAAGCCACCGGGTCCGGGACATGAACCATGGTCGACTACGTGGGAGTCCAGCGACATAGCCATTACGCTAACTACTGGTTCCCGACCCGGCATGATTTTTAAGCTGCAGGGGCTGGAACTTGAACTGGAGCATTGGCCATGTGGGATCCAGCACCTTAACCTCCACTCCACCTGCTCTTTATTTATTTATTTATTTATTCTGGAAAGATTTTTGCTATAGGGCGCATGCATGTGCAGGAGAGACAGAAAGAGACAGAGACAGAGGGTGAGAAATCACCCCCCAAGGGGAATGGCCACGCCACAATCCCTTCTCCTCCATTCTCCTCTCGGGATTTTGGGCACGCACGTGCACGCGCCCAGTGTGTTTGAAGCTGCCAGGTCCGGGACTTGAACTGTGATTGACTATGTGGGAGTCCAGCAAGATAACCATTATTCTATCTGCTGGTCCCACCTATTTTTTTTTTTTTAACAGTTTTATGTATGGGGATAGAATTTACAAACTATCAAACGTGCCCATTCAAAGTATACAATTCAGTGAGTGGAGTTTGAGTTGCGGCACCACCACCGCAGTCAGCACCCCAAGGAGAAACCCAGCTGGGGCGGGCAGGCCGTGTGGCTAAGGTGAACAACCACCGCGCCACCTGCTGGCCACAATGTATATATTTAAAAGTTTATCATTGGGACCAGCAGATGGCATAATGGTTGCGTGGCTGGACTCCCACATGTTCAACCACGGTTCAAGTCCTGGGCCAAGTGGCTTGAAACTCACGCGGGTGCATGTGCATGCGTGCCCAAGATCCCGAGAGAATGGAGGAGAAGGGATTGCGGTGTGGCCATCCCCCCTGGGGGGGTGATTTCTCACTCTCTGTCTCTCTGTCTCTCTCTAGTGAGTGCATGTGCCCCATAGCAAAAATCTCTTTAAAAAAACTTTACTTTTTTCTATGTGAGACATAGGCACCCTGACAGTGTTTTATGCCTTGACTCACCCCCAGTCTCAAGTGGCCTGAGTCATGAGTACACTGAGTGTGCTTGGGGAATGGGCTCCCAGGATGTGAACTCATGACCTTTCCAATGTAGTTCCAGTCGCCTTACTGCTGCACTACTGCCTGGCCCTAAAACAAATGATTTTTTTTCTTTTACTATTACTCGGTGTGTGCACTTGCCGGAGAGAACGGGAAAGTGAGAAAGCACCTTCCACCCCCATAGGGGATGTTCATCTTGCAGTCTCTTCTGTATTTCGCCTTTGGGGCTTTGGACGGGCAAACACACATGCACCCAATGTGTTTTTCTTTTCTTTTTAAGAATTACTATTATTTTATTGAAATTATTTTTTTCAGAATTATTTTATTTAACTTTATTTATTTATTTATTTATTTATTTTTCTTTTGGCCAGAGTGAGAGAGAGAGAGAGAGAGAGAAAGTGAGAAAGCAAGCTGTCCCAACCCAGGCAGGACAGTCGAACAGGTTTCCTGAGGGAAGGAGTGAGAGACGGGAGGAACCGCGCAATGTTACAACACGGGGACTACACGGTGTTACAACTCTTCAGGGTCCTCCGTTTATTGTGGGCCAGGGATCGTGGTTATATATATACATGCTGGTGGAATGAAGGATTGTAAAAGTGGGTTATGATTGGTTGCTTTTGTGGACCAATCATGAGGTGCCGGATATGCAAATCTGAGGGATTCTAAGCTCGCTGATTTGCCATGGGAAGTGGCCAATCAGAGCATGGTTCTGAAGGTGAGGCCTTGAGATCACGCCCCATGGCGAGTAATTCCACCTTTTCCTGCCTCTCTCTGGAGAGCCTACACACCCACTGGGCAAAGAAAAAATTAAATAAATAAAACTATAAAGGCTTTGGGAACCCCCAGGTTGAACGACCCCTATGACAATAAAAATAAAAAACAAGACAAATCAAACAATGAAACCAGCTCTTCCTCCATTAAAGAAGTAATCGCCCCCTCTCCAGCACCATCCAGCAGATGCCTGAAGACTCAGGCCGGGATGGCAACGTTAGGGTCCTTATTTTTATCTGATTGAGATTTTTCTGTATGTGGGGGCCCCCTCCTGACTGGCTCCGGAAGCCGGAGACCTCCGCACCGACCGGTTTTCATTATAGGGCGTGTGCGCTCACCAGACAGAGAGAGACAGAGAGACAGAAAGCGAGAAATCACCTCCCAGGGGGGATGGACACGTCGCAATCCCTTCTCCTCCATTCTCCTCTCGGGATCTTGGGCACGCACGGACACGCAACAAGCGTGAGTTTTAAGTCACCAGGTCCAGGACGCGAACCGTGGTCGACTATGTGGGAGTCCAGCGACATAGCCATTACGCTAACTGCTGGTTCCCCACATTGTTACAACTCTTCAGGGTCCTCCGTTTATTGTGGGCCAGGGATCGTGGTTATATACATGTTGGTGGAATGAAGGATTGTAAAAGTGGGTTATGATTGGTTGCTTTTGTGGACCAATCATGAGGTGCCGGATATGCAAATCTGAGGGATTCTAAGCTCGCTGATTTGCCATGGGAAGTGGCCAATCAGAGCATGGTTCTGAAGGTGAGGCCTTGAAGGGGAGCCAATTGTGGCCTTTTCGGAAGTGGCCAATCACAGTATGGTCTTGAAGGTAAGGCTTTGAAGGGGAGCCAATCATGGCTTTTGGCATTGTGTAATTATTTGCTCTCTGAGAAAGGGCGATATTTGCTGGTGCGCAGCATCCCACAAGGCACATGTGTGTGTGTGCACATGCATGTGTGTGTGTGTGCCCAAGATCCTAGGAAGAGAATGAAGGGATTGCATGATGGCCATCCCTCCTGGGGGGTGATTTCTCCCTCTCCCTCTCACCATCTCTCTCTGTCTCTCTGTCTCTGGCAAGTGCAAACACTCTTATGTGAAAAGGTGGTGTGGTGGTTAAGGTGTTGGACACTCCCCATGTGGCCGACCATGGTTTGAGTCCTGGACCTGGTGGCTTGCTTTCTCACTTTCTCTCCCTCTCTCTCTCCTCTCTCATCAAATTAAACAGTAAATGAATAAGTAAATAAAAATTAAATACTTTTTTAAAATAAAGAGGTGGCAGGGGGCGCTCCAGAGGTGGTGGAGAGAGCCTAATGGCACGTAGCTGCCTGCAGTTGCAGAGCCAGACCTGTGGCTGGTGAAACACCCCAGGGGTCTGTGCCCCAAATCCCAGCAGGACGGAGAAATGGAGAAGACGCTTTTGTGCAGGATCACGCCCCATGGCGAGTAATTCCACCTTTTCCTGCCTCTCTCTGGAGAGCCTACACACCCACTGGGCAAAGAAAAAATTAAATAAATAAAACTATAAAGGCTTTGGGAACCCCCAGGTTGAACGACCCCTATGACAATAAAAATAAAAAACAA